ACATACTGTAACATACTCACTGAGAAAATATTAAAGTGAAATTAGTGAGAAGCTTTCAAATTTGTGTGCTATTGTGTCATATTGAACAAAACTATTACATAAATCTCAATTATATCAACACAACAAAGAACACTGACAGAACGTGCTCTGGACAGATGTGTGCAGTAGTAAGTGCACACACACGCAGACAGACAGATGGATAGGGGGAATTCCCATGATGTTCCACAATGGCTAACTGCAGTCAACCAGTGTCGGGTATTCAACATGCTAGCTAGTCACATACTTGAAATGAATGCACTTGAATATCACTCTGATCTATCTCAAATATTGATGCTTGATGATTTAAGTCCATTCTTTAGGGGAAACATTAGTTAAACTCTCTCTACGTGTACTAGTGTTTTAGCCCAGTAGTTTCCCAGTAGTGGAAAGTTTTAGTATGAAAATACAGTGAAATGAACTACATTCATTTTCAGGACACAAACAATGACTATGCTGTGTAATTAGACACAGTTTTGCACATGTTCCTTCAAACACAAACATATGCACACAAGGACACATACATAGGGGTGAATCACTCACGCATCTGAAGGATAGTGACAGACCACACCCATGCACTGAGAGTGAGAGAAAGATAGGTGTTCAGCTCTAAAATATGCAAAAAACAACTAACAGACACCCAGATGGACAAAAGTTATGAAGTTGACACTGTGTAGATAAACAAAACCAGTTTCCCATTCACTCTGACACTGAGAGACAGACACGCATAACGATACACAATTACCACACATTTAAGGTCTATTCAAACTCCCCTGCTCTGTACCAACCAACTAAAACACCAAACGCGTCTCCCAGCCTGATCTTAGCCAGATATATCATATACCTTTAAAACTAGTTATGATTTTGCAATAGTCTGAAAACTACGTTATTTTGGAAAATTGTGCTTTAGCTAATCTTAAATGGTGAATGTTTAAAAAATTATTATAATTTGTCATATCAAATGAAAGGTGTGAGCCTCATATATATGCCAGATCAGCACACATGGAATATAAACACGAGCTATACACGTTTATCTGCAAACCATAAATTCACCATTTCTTATCTTGTAATATGTTAAAGTGTAGAATGATTGCAGTCAATTTACTGAGTCACTTTCAAATGGGCCTCACTGATTTTAATTACTAAAACCTTCTAGCGCTGCAGTATCTCAGCAGTTTGAGCTTGGAAATGAACATAGGCTTGTATGCTTAAATTACGCAATGGACAAGAAGATTTTTTTTTAACAAAATACTGTTTATCTTGTTTTAAACCCCAGTAGGCTGCAAAATGTGTTTCAGTGCATAAAAGTACTTAATCATCCTGGATTAGTGTCGAATAATTACAGGGCATGACCATACTCTAAGCCATTACCTCATGATGATGCCATGATTTACATTAATTCAAGTGTCTTGTTTTCCAGACTCCAAATTTTACTGAATCATTAATCATAATATTAATTAACACTGAACCAAATGGTTTGTGCATCACAGATGTTATTTCAGATAAAGATATCCAACATAAATAAGGTTACAATTCGTATTGTTAAAATATTAATAAATTGTTTTTTAAATCATCTGTTCCTAAATATCACTGCAAAGTAGAGGATACAGAAGCAATAAACAAGGAATTGTGTTTTTTACCACGTTCATCATTAGCCCTTTCTTTAATGTTTTGCTAAACCAATTTTAGACTGTAGAAGAGACATGATTCTCAAAGTTTCTTTGCTGAAAGTTGATTTAATTAATGAGGAAGCCCTTATCAAGGAATCCAGGCATTTAGTTAGGGATGATTTGCCCTCCTGGATCCTGCTCAGACACCCCTTTCCTAGAGATCATTGTTGGAATTATGGGAAATCTCCTTATCTGAACACAAGCCTTCTCCCCATCATGCCGGGGTACATTCAGTGTGTGTCTGCGGTCCTTCTGTCAGTGGTTGCCGTGACTGATGTCAGCGTTGTCAATGTGACTAGGAGTTTGTTACCTGTGTGCCTATTTTTGCTAAACGGTAAGTTAGCTGACTGATTTTAGCCAGTGACTCTTTGGGTCCCTCGGTGTGTGACTTCTGGTTTCTTATGACTGTTTCAACCAGGTGTTTTTCAGGAGGGGGCCATCGTGCTCTCTAGCAGGCATAATCTCCGCCTTCACTCTCCCAAGATAACGAGAGCCGCTGATCTATGAGACAGACTGTGTGTTTGTAAGATGCCCTGAATTCATTTACAGCCAAATTCAAACCAGGAATCTGGGCAGAACTAAAAGAACATTGAAGGTCAATGACAAGAGTGAGATTGAGGTGGATGGGTGATAACCAGTGTATGTCTCTCTGAATGTTTGTCTGTCTCTGTTACTAACTGCACTGACACTGGCATCCCACACTGCAATCCCGCTTCATTTAATTTCATGTTGATATGGTACTTAGCTCTACCTCTGGTGTAGCTTATTCACGTTTTTTTAGAGGGCATCAGTGTGTGCGTACAATGTGTTCCGCACCTTTAAAAACATACCTAACTCAATAGTGGGGTAAATGGTAGCTTGGATTACTTTGAAAGCGTTTCCAAAAAAATCGCCTGATAGAGTCATACAGTTGAGCAATAGTTTGCTGGATTGATTGCTTAAGCACACACTGTAACCCTCTGAGAAAAGCAAGGAAAGCCATTAAGTAGACTCTGTCTTCTGGAACCTAGAGTGATAGATAGAATCTCTTTTACTCGTGGAACTGGGAGCTTATGGATATGATCTCCTTGTTGATGGCAGGGGAGTCAAACAATATGGTAGATGTCAATGTAGCAGAGCTATTTTACTAACTGGCAGTTTCAGACAGACAAAGTCCATCAGCTGTTTAGAGTGTTTAGAGTTGTGCTTTTGCCTTAAGTTTCAATATAAGCAATAAGTAGTGTTAGCTTATGTTTTGCTTAAAAACATATTTTGTCTGTTGCAGCTTGAAATAAAAGACCAAAGGTCCAAGAACCGAAATCCATTTCTTTTTCGATATGTCAGTAAGTCTTTGTGGTATTGTTAGATACGGATAAGATATTCTGTCAATTTTAGGCAATATATATTTTATTGATGTTTTTCGTCTATGTCTGCTTTATCTCAGTTTGTTAAAGGGTAATATTTAATTAATATTTCACTTTTTACTTCTCTCCTTTTTCCTGATATCAGTGTAAGGGATAAAAGCCAAGTGTGAAAGGGCATTTGTGTATGTAATTTGTAATTGTAATTGGTGTAATTGACAAGGTTCTGAGTGAGAAGAGAAAAGGTCTGCTGAAATCAGTTCACCTCACATTGCACTAACATCATAAAACACACTGGGAATATTGTATCTGGAATATGAATCTCCATTAACATTTTTAACTTTGTTAACCAATCCCCCTGCTGAATGTCGTTTTAAAATGCCAATGTTTTTCTTGGTGAAGCATAAGATTTCTGGTAGTTATTGGTACAGTATATTACCTTTTCTGGAAATGGCACTGAATTTAAAAAAATGGTTGGAATTTCTTATTTGAGTAGATCATTTGATTTGTTTATTGCTACTGTAAAAAGAGAATACGCTGTCATTTAAGTACCAAACATTATTATATTAACAATTGTCAAGTATTACACATTAATTCTTCAATATATACCGTACTTGTTGCAGCACTTGGAGGGAGGGGGTTATGTAATAATTAGATCAAAAACATGACTTTGAACTGAATGAACTGTTTTCTTTCTTATTGCTTCATTGAAGACTTCACTGAACTGGACTGGACAGGACGACTTATACAATTAGTTAATTTAACTGAAATCAGACTGGTATATTGGCAATGATGGTTCTCTGCGCCAATGTAGGTAAGGATAGCTGAGAGGAGCAAATCAAAACTTTTACATATCCACAAATCAGAAATGACTGCGTTCTGGCAAGATTCAAATCAGGAACACCTTTTAATCAAAGTCATACATAACGTGTAGCTTTAGTTCTGGAATTTCTGATTGGTGGGTAAGACTGTTTTGATTTGATAAAAGCAAGAGTCTCACTCAGACATAATCAGAATGTCAGGTACCATGCGATGTTATCATATTGCAACATTTCAGTGTAAAATACCATGTCACCACATACATAGGAGCAACAGATAATTTTCCCACTTATCATTATGTAATAGCTGAATCCATTTAATTAGATGGTGTTGTGATTAAGCATCACTTCATTCTCAAATATGTTCACTTCACCATTGCGAGGAACTTAAAAGTTTAAAGTTATGTTATTTATTTGTTGCATAAAATATAATTATTTGGGTCTTAATTATTAATCATTATTATTAATACTAATTACCTATTGGGCAAAAATACATGTGGGTATTTGGCAATTCTTATACTGTTACTTAAAAATAAAATAAAAAGCAGTTGAACAAGGTTTCTTACCTTGATTGACATGACAACGCAGCCACCCTAGTCAATGATGAGGTATAATCATCCTACCGATGTGCTCATCATATCTGACAGTATAATGAAAATCATTGATAAGAAACCTACTAATCATGGCACTATTTGATACTCATGAGCCTTTGCAACCTTGTGGACTCATCTTGACCTGTCTTGACATTCATGGCTAATATCTAGCAGCTAGACTGTATCGCAGTCTGAGGAGCATAATGAGAATAAGAGGATTCACTGATCAGCTGAGTCATAGGTCTGTTTGTCAACCCCAGATTTTAACCCCACCCCATCCTTTTCTCTTTCTCTGTCTACCCTTTTCTTCCTCTGTTCTTTCTTACATTTGTGTGGTCAAATTTCTGCTTTGTAACTCATTTTCCTCTTTCTTTCTACACTACTCTTTCTATCCCTTATTTTCCTTGTTTTTGCTCTGCCCTTTCACCCACTTCCCTTTTTTCCTATCCTCCCTCTCCGTTTGCTCCATTATTCTCTCTATCCACCCCTCCGACCCTGTCCTCTATCCTCCCTTCCTTCCTTCCTCTCTCTCTGTCTTGCTAGGAAGGCCAGTTTTCCGCCTTGGGTTCAGCAGACCCCGGTGTGATCTCTGAAAGAGGAGGAGGAGGTGGAGGAGGGATGACCATCACATCTGGCACTGGAGTCTCCTCCTCGGGCGTCTCCTCTTCCAGCTTCCCCTGGAACGGAGTCGTTCCTCCCCTCCCCCCTCCTCGCCTGCACTTCAGCCAGAACGGAGAGCTCTGCGGCAACCGAGCATCCTCCCCTGTGACCGCTACCACGGTAACCGGGACCACAGCAACGGCAACATCAGGACCGGGCATAGAAGAAGGGGGAGCAGGTCAATAGCAGCCTGAACCAAATTGGAAAGAGGACTCAAATAATCAACAAGCTTTCCCTTGCCTTGATGCAGTCTCTCTCGCTTTTTTGGTATAGAGACAGAATTTAACATTTTTTGCCCACTTTTAGTGTCAAAGGCAGAGAGATGGGAGAACTAGGGGGAGACACACTTTACACACAATATACACCCATATCTGAAAAGGGCTTTTCCAATGACCTGTTCTCAACAGTTTTTGTTTTGAAGGTCATGCAAGCTTTTGTCAATGTCTAAGATAAAGGACACAGGACAATGGACCCTTCTTTGGAGCTCCTCAAAGGATTTCATGGGATTCTCTCATGAGTCCCTTGAGGTGATTAGGTCAATGAGCAGGTGACGAGCCAAGGAAGTCAGATGGGAAAAAACCTCCTTTAGGCTGTGACCTTTTCACACTGCAGACAGTTTTATATCCTAAATTGGATTTGGTATCAGAATATATAATTGGGGGAGAAATAATCACATGATTTGGCTTTCTCAGTGCCTTTCAGTATTTTCTAACAGGGTTTTAAAAGAGCAAGCAGTATTGTTGCTATTCCAATAAGTTTAATAGCAAATGAGAAGCCTTTTTGAGTGCTAAGCAGTCTCTACATGAATTGTACAGCTTGTGTAGGATTTTGGTTCAATGGTGTGAATTTGAGAGAATTCACAATGCTCTGCACTCTTTAATCATGAATCTGGACCGGACATTGCATAACTGGACTGGACTGTGGCAAAGTTTTCTCTTCTCAATCTCAGAACCACTGCGGGATGAATCGTTGATACATAAAGTACTACTGTTAAGTGCAAAGCAAACCTGTCCCTCTGCGGTACTTCACACGGTGTCTTTATCCCCAGGGCTGCTTTTTAAGTGCATTGCCATTGCCTGTGTACCTTTTCTTTATGCTTGTGTGTTGTCCTTGTGTGTATGTCCACATGTGTGCACACTTACCTGTGGGAGATGGGAGAAGGGCTTGCGGTTGATTCTCACCATGTGAGAATGCTGCTTTAATAATTCTCTAACCAAAATTTCCTCGGACCTCGGATGGGTGGGCTGAATTCCCACAGTGCTTTACTGCCCAGCATAGCCATTGGAGGAACCAAGAAAGGATATTACTGGGAAGAAATCCACTCAGTTTGGTTAAATACATGATCCCAAGCTGTGACTATCTGTGGTCTTTGATGGCATCTTAATATCCATCAGGCGATTGTATATTTTTCCACAGAATCAGCATGTATCTACCTGCGTGAAGATATGCACATGTTTTTTGTTGCATTATTTCGTATGCACTCATGCTGTGGTACTAATACACACAAATATATTTTGCTAGTGACCTCACACCCATCCTAGACTCAAAAAAAAACCAACACATTTCTGAAGATTCCCTATATATAGATTTTTTTAAAATCGAATGTTGTGTGGGATCAGGACTCCATATTTAGGTGTGAGTACAGAATTGCCTGTTTTCAGTTTTAACGTCAGTGTAGCCAGCAGTGATGAGACAAGTTGCCTTTTTTGTTATGAAACTGGAGCAAGTGAGGCTCACACAGTAAAACTGGAAGGTTAAAGACATCCTTCATGGGACACACACCTGCCCTGTCAGGCTAAGCTTGTCCCTGCAGCATGTGTGATGGCATCCCCAGTGCAGCAAAATGAGCACAACAAAGAATGACAAACATCTTAACTAAGTTTTATTGCTCTATATATTTCCATCTCCATAAAGGATGCTAAATTAATATGATCATTAACTTATTTAATTTGTCCTTTCAGTTTCTTAAGTCCGCACGTAGTATTATGCAAGTACGAGAGCGTGACAATGTCATTTAAAGAATTCACATTTACTTTATTCATTTGTAACAAATTCCAAAATTCTTTTTTTTTTTTTAGGTTGGGGGGTGCTAGGAATGCTGTAATTAGTTGGTCTTTTTTGGGCACAGTTCTTTTGGCATTTTCATTGTATATTCAGCAGCAAATTTATTGTGCTTGAGTTCCCAAGTTTTTAAATGGTATTTAGCCCATGAGTCACCAACGAATAGGCAGCTGTTCAACTCTGCATCAACTTTTAGTTCACTTACATCAGCCACCTTCATGACACTCTCTCCCTCTCAGTGCATTTGCAGAGACATCATGTGTAAATGGGTGCCTGCGTCTGCAGCTCACCCCGATGACTGACATTAACGTAAGCATGCAAAGCATTGTGGGATCCCATGTATCACTGCTGACTAAATTCAAAATGGCCGCTGCGTTTTCGTTGTCCTAGTTGCCTTCATCTGCATTGTGTTGGTTTCTCAGTGAAAGAAGTTTCCATTATGGCTATGCGCCATATTCTGTCTGTCCTGATAAAATAATAATACAATGATAATATTATTGATGGTTTGAAGACATCATTCAATGCACAGTGCATCTCCTATAGGAGGCCAGCATACCCCATAACTAAAAATATTATTAACCTACGTGCACTATAATGTATTAAGGAACAACTAGCTGGTTTTCTTCCAAGAAATGCCCAATATATATCGACTTACACTTTCTTGGCATGCTGTTCCTAAAGCAGTGAGTATAGTCAAAGTGATGTAGATCTCTCAGGAAGGCTGGTGCTGAGGGTTAAAGTAAGAATCTGAGGGCAAGAGTAATATGACAGCTGAGGCTTTTCCTGGGCAGGCTCCTCGTTGTTACCTCTCCGTCCTCACAGTTGTTAGCGCTCCCTCTTCACTGCTGTTAACACTCCACCCTCACCGCTGTTATCTCTCCGTCCTCACAGTTGTTAGCGCTCCCTCTTCACTGCTAACGCTCCACCCTCACTGCAGTTAGCACTCCCTCCTCACTGCTGTTAGCTCTCCCTCCTCACTGCTATTAGCACTCCCTCCTCACTGCTATTAGCGCTCCCTCCTCACTGCTGTTAGTTCTCCATCTCTATGGCTGTTAGTGCTCCACCCTCACTGCAGTTAGCACTCCCTCCTTACAGCTGTTAGTGCTCCCTCCTCACTGCTGTTAGCACTCCCTCCTCACTGCTATTAGCACTCCCTCCTCACTGCTGTTAGCTCTCCATCTCTATGGCTGTTAGCGCTCCACCCTCACTGCAGTTAGCTCTCCCTCCTCACCGCTGTTAGCACTCCCACCTCACAGCTATTGGTGCTCCCTCCTCACTGCTGTTAGCGCTCCACCTACACTGCTACTAATGTTCCCTCCTCATTGCTGTTAGCTCTCCATCTTCATGGCTGTTAGCACTCCATCCTCACCGCTATTGGTGCTCCCTCCTCACTGCTGTTAGCACTCCCACCTCACAGCTATTGGTGCTCCCTCCTCTCTGCTGTTAGCACTCCACGCTCACTGCAGTTAGCACTCCACCCACTCAGCTGGGAAGCCGCTGCAGTACTGGAGAATGCAGAAGGGTCAGTTGACCTAACTTTTCTGTATCGACCTGGGCAAGATTAGGGATGAAACTGTGCATTGTTGTGCAGTTGGAAGAAGGAGTCTTTTTTCACATTGAGTTGTTGGTGTGCTCTCCAGTGGATGAGTTGTCCTGGAACATTTTAGTGACATTCTGTGGTATCCAACAAGGTTTGGGTGAGGATAAAGTTGCAAGCTTAATTTTGGCTGGGAGCCATGTAAGCACCTCCTTAGGTCTTTCATGAGTGTGTTGGCTCCCTTCTGGCACTTCTTTCCTGTTGTTTACTCATAGCACAGGAAACAGTCACATTTACAGGAAATGGTGTGGATGCCTCGCATTGCACACTAACAAACCCTGAAGAATCAAGTACTTGAAGCAGATATATCCAAATACAAGAGTTTTGATTGCTTATGAATCTTTGATTAGAGATCCTTTCACATGAGGATGGTACAATGGATGCAGGGAAGGGAAATTTCAGAAACCATAAAGAGGATTTTGTAATTGCTGTAATAATAATAATAATTGTTTAATTGATTATTAATCAAAGAAATACATATTATTGATTGCTTGATTGATCGAGTAATTAATTAATCAATTGCTCTCCTTCCTACTGTGATGCCCTTTTTCTTAATCTGGTCCAAAATCCTTAGGGTAAAATTCAGTTTCAGTAAAGCCAATATAAATATTTAAATTATATAAATATATTTAAGTATCAAATCTTGTGCAAAGTTTGTGCAAAATTGTTTGGCTATTTATCATCATAATCACATTTTGTTCTTTTGGACAATGGTACGTGCAGTTGTCTTTCGTATTGTTGTCTGTGCTTAGGGGAGCAGTGTCTGGTGGGCCTTTGTGAGTAAAAATATCCATTATTAGTTTAATATTGGCCTCTGAATGTAGAAGAATTTGCCATCCAGAAAGGTCACCTCAGGTCATTAGAAAATATAAACACTTTTCAGATATTTGTCTGATGGCTCCATGTTTTTCATTGATGCCTAATGGTGACGTTTACAAATGTGGCATGGATGCTGTCAATACTGCCTGATAGGAAAAACGATTAATCTCTCCGATGCCAGTATCATGCAATGAAAATAATGCATTTTGTGTGAATCCGGCAATAATATTTATAACTATAGAAATATTTTTGCCAGATTGAATTATTTGATTGCACAAAATAAATGTGACTGATATATAATGGATTCAAAGATGGTCCCAAATTATATGAAGCAATATGAGTGAGTGAAAAGAATAATAGCAGAGATAGGTGTGCAGTAATGTTTTAGTTTACTTTTTACTTGAACATTTTTACCCAGATAGTGAAGTGGTTATTAAATATGGAAATCAGCTTTAGGCTAAACCGTACGTGACAATGTAACATGTATGGAATCTAAGAAGAACTGTGTTATTTAGGCTATAAGATACACTAATAATATCATGATACATTTTAGCATATTTAGCTGTATCAGTAGCATGGCCATTCTGTCCCAAGGGAGTTGTTGTTTGTTCAAATTTCAAAACATAATGTAACATTAGGTTAAATACTAAAGCAATAAGATGACGAGGTTGTGCTGCAAATGATTCTTACAGCACAGCGGTGTGGTTAGATAAGACCATCTTCAATATCATTATACTTTTTATGGATAATTTTTATAGATATATGAAAAATATTTTGTGCATAATGGGCCACAAGTTTGCAATATAGAATGACTATAAGATGAGTAAATACCTTCCTTTTCAGAGGTGGAATGGTTAATGAAGTTAAGAGCCTAATAATGCCTCATAACCTTGTCCATTGTGATGTATATAATAAAAGCAATTTTAAACTGAGGTTAAACCTAGTAGCATGTAGAATTATAGTTATAGGCTTCTCAGACTTTTTGCATCTATGAATATTTCTATATTTAAGTGCATATTTTGACATATTTGGCAGGTGTTTCCACGCTCCGCATATGTTTTCTTGTCTGTTTGTAAGCTGGTAATCCCAAACCCAAGCATATAATTTTGCGTGCAGCACCAGGGTCCAAACTGTAGTTGGAGATATGATCGCTAAAGTGGCAGCTTTTGCTTTGTATATTCTTATGTGATGAGATATCCCACCTGGTTATGAAGAGCAATATATTATCCTTTACTTTATATAACAATAAGATGAAGAAGTAAAGATTTGAGGAGGAGAAAAAGAAGTACTGATTTTCTTTTCTCGGACTCAAAGTGCTTGCATAGTTTGCTCCTTGGTTTACTATAGTTCTTTGGGTAGTAAAGCAGATGTGTGTTTAAATTGAGGTTTTAGAGCATGTGCAAACAGTGCTTTTGTAAACAAATTGGAATTATTACCAGAAGGCTTTGGGTTCAAATCCCAAGACTTGAAGAGCTCCTGTGCTTGTATTTAGAAATGTAATTAAGTTAAATTGCTTTATTAAATACCCATCTGTAATTGGCTAAAGTTGTCAGCTATGTAAGTTGTATTGGATAGTATCTGCTAAGCAATAAATAATGTTAAATAAGGTCATGTACAGTAGCACAGCACAACTCTGTCAAATCTTCCAAAGGAGTTTCAGGGCAACATTTGGAATTGGCTTCCACTATATGTCTTGAAGGAATTTAGTATCATCCTGCTTGATTGAGATGCACTGCTCTTCTAAGGTTCCTGGTAGCTCTTGTAGCCGCCCCTGTCTGAGACTTGCTGTGGGGGGGAAGGTACAGGAGCTCCTGTCTTAACCAGGGTGAAAATCGAAATTTGGGATTTGGCCAACTGGGCCCCTGTACCTTCTTGGTATTTTCAAAACTGGGATTGCATAAATATTCATAATGGTAATATTTCCTTAATGGCAAAAAAGTATGATTTTGATATTTGCAGACAGCAAGAGTGAATGCTCACTTCATGCTTGTCTTTGGTCCCATGGTTCCCCTGGCAAATAAACTGAACAAGGAGGCATATTCCACCAGTCATACACGTCACAGTACAAGATGAGATGTTGCTATTAGAATCATGGAGTCACAGTAACAAGCTCTCGATTTAAATGATCTTTTGTTGATAAATTTATGACAGTGATGGTCCCATGTTATTAGTATATTGGTTAATTAGAATTCGATCATCATACAATTTTTTTGTGGCGTTTTCCAAACAGTTAATTGTTACATATTTTCCATGCAGTAGTTATGAAGAGATGATCAAGTCTTTTTTCTGCTTAGTAATTAGCATGTACATGGACTTACAGGGTCAGTGGTAAAATAATTGCTATAAATATACCTCAAAGACAAAGAATTGAGAGACTCAGGTAAATAATCAATCGCCTCAGAGCTAAACACAAACAGATAAAGACACTAGTTCACACTGAACACACGCACACTGATTTCCTGCTATTAAACAGTCAGTTCTCCCATCAGAGGATCCGTAGCCTTGATTGGACACCTCTTCATCAAACACCTCCCCCCTCCTTTTCTCTCTGTCTCCCTTTTTTTTCCTCCCAGCCAATCACACAGCGTCATGGAACTCACTATGGAACCTGAATGGCTGATGCAATATGGGCAGACCTCTCATTGGCCTGACCTTAATCCAGGAACCCTCTTGGGTGATCTGATTGAATGACAGAAAGGGAAAATACAGCAAGGGATCAACACTGGTCCCTTCCATTCAGCACACTGGATACTCCAGATTTGCAAATGATCTGTCAGGAAGCTATGCCACTGGGTGAATCAAAGCGAAGGGGAATCCCTCACTAAGTAGGCTTTCTGTGATTGGCTAGCTTGAAAGACACTTTTTTCCATGTGTGTCTTGGCCGGATGTTCAGTTCCAAAGACGTGTTGCGACGATCCAAAGGCTACATGGTGCAAAGTTGCATTGAGCATGAGAAGAACAACTTCTTCAGCTGCCATCGTGTTGAACGGCTTATTAAGCATTTGAGGACAGTTGTTTAACTGAGAAAATATTAGAAAATGAAATACTGAAAGGGAGCATGTCAGTGACACTGGTGGTAAGAGTTTTTTTTTCCTGTTTTTTTCTTTATAATATCACACCATTCCTTCTCTCACAACAGAAGCTTTTTCATTTTTCTAATCATATTCCTGCTTCTAAATTGCTTTTATTTCTCTGTTATTATTCTTAGATTCTGTCTTTGTCACTCAGTCTCTTCCTACGCTTCCTTACGCATCTTCCAGTTGACCTGTCTCTTACCTCCATGCACTACTTATCTATATTTGTTTTTTTTAATCTCCCTCTTGTTTTGCCTGAGAAAAAAAAAACACTTAGCATGCACAACCAAAAAAGAAATGTTGCATTTAAAAGTCTGGTATTAGTGAAGACTGGAAGCTGGAAAATTTTTTTCATTGTTTATTATCTTTGTGATGTTGTGTATTACTAGGACAAAAATATTTGGACATTTCTCAAGTACTGTATTATTCTTGTTGCAAACACAACAATAAGGAGATCCAGTGATATGAAAAATGTTTAAATGTTATAGTTTTTTTTTTTTAATTCATTCAAGAACTTCTTTACTGACAATCCACAGTGACAATTCCTATTCAGAGATGTTCACCACCCTAGAATTTAAATCAAAGGTTGTTTTACCTGCTCCCCCCTCCTCAACGAATTGGACGTTGCTGTGACTCGTGCCCCCTCCCTTTTCTTGGTCCATGTGACCTGATGGACGCAGGAATGCGTCGCCGTGGAGCTCTGCTTTCACTGACAAACAAAGACGCCACATGGATGGGAATCCTCCTTTGGTTGACCCTTAACCCCTCTGGGTGACTATTGGTTGATCCTTTCCTTCACCTTTTTCTCATGGTTCTTTTACTTCTCAAGAAGGAACGCCCAGCTGAATGGCTGCCTGGTTGACTTTCAGTGATATGCTAAGAGTAGAACCCAGGGTAGTGTCTCTAGGTTCTGTGTCATTATTGTTTCATGGCTCTGCCTGGACTCCTGACCAGTGGGCTGGACATTCCTGTTGCTCCTCTTCCTCTTTGGTTAATCAGATGACAAGATATGAAAGTGAGAGGCGGAGAGCTGGCTGGCTGTATGTCTGAGTGAATGTGTGTGTATATACAGAATGTGACTGTATATTTTATGGTGTGGCTGTTTATACATGGGTTGTTTGTGTATAGGTGTGTGTCTATAGGCTGTACATACAGGGGTGTGTGGTGATTTCTCTTTTCCTCTCTAAGTTTGTGAGTGTGCGCGTGTGTGTATGGTTCGATGTGAGGTGTGTTTCCGAAACACAGGATGAAATTGACACCTTTACACGGCAGGGACACTGGAAGAAAGGGAGGATCACAGGACAATACAGAGGACCAGGAGCACCTTGGAGAAACACATAGAGGTGCTAATTGCACAAGAGTGTAAATTTTCTCATGCAGATATGGAAACATGTACTAACATCTGCAGACCCTGACACTCAGATAGATAGAATTGCACACATGCACAGACACACACACACACAGAAAACTTACTTGATTGTACTGGCAAATTTAAGCTCTGTCTCTGCTTTATGCACATCGTCTCTCTGACTTTCAAAAACATCCACACGTACTTACACATTTGATACATAGACATTCACTTACTTTGTCAATCTTTCTCTTGCTTTTTCTAACCAGCTGAATCACTTTGAGGTGACCAGGCAATTTCTGTATATATAGAGTGGAACACGTCTTTATATGACATCTTCATTACTTTTATTGATTCCTCTTCATTTATAAGAAACAAGTATAAGTATGTACCATAAAGCACATATACAGAGCATATACCCCCCCACCTAACACAATGAGTACATAGACACATGCACATACATGTTGGTTTACAATTTTTTTCTTTTGCTTTCTACTTTTGGTTGGGCTGTACTTTAAATTGTGTGACACGTTCATCTTAAAATCCCAAACACTGTCCTCTTTAACTAATGCTGCCGACTCCTCTCACTCCGCATTTCTTAAGGTAAACGTCTCTTCGATGACTCCCATGAATCTCTTGGGAGTGGCCAAGTGGCTCAAGAACTCCCGAGATCAATAGAGGCAGAATCGCCTCTCACTTAAGGTGACGGCTGAATGTATTTTTATTTAAAATGTCCCACTTGGTGACTCTCTATCTATAATCTGATCACCCTTTCCTCTATACAGTCCATTTATTCCCTGTGGGCGGCTTATCCCCGTAAAGGCCCCGTCCTTACCCACAATTCCTTGACTCACTTGTTCTTTATTTATTTAGGCCCCTCGATAAGCCATAAACTCCCACACCCCAGTTGCTATATTGAGGTTTAAGTGGACAGACATTCGGGGACATTGTATATATCAACCGAAAGAGTGATTATTAAAGTGTGCATTGCCGCTCTACATAGATTTTATATGAATGTTGGTATTCTGATGATGATGACAATAATGATGAATGTTATGATTATTCTAATGACTATTATAATTATTACTTTGATTTTATGGAAAACATTTCTTTCTGATGCAGTTGATGGCAATTTCTTTCCTTTTTTTGTGAATAAGCGGAAGTTTATATTTTTCAGGTGGTAGAATCCTGGAGATTTAAATAAATGAATTAATAAATTAATAAATTCAATACATTTGAAATGTGATTTTGGCACTTTTGTCAGATTATTCCATAAACTTAAGAATTGGGACATTTACTGTATTGTGATAATTTGGTTCAGGCTTGTTATTTAATGCTTCAAAAACACCTTTTTAAATCATGCTGAAGCCACATTTTGGTCTCCTAATTTATGTGAACTTGTTGGGGACCTGCCCAATATCCATCTTTCCATCCATCCTCCCACAAAGTACAGGGCAGGCAGCATCCAGAATGGGACACCAGTATTTCCCTAGTAAAACTATATTATATTTTAAAATCCTACTCTTCAACCTAACAGGTAATCCACCTTTAGGTTTTTGGGTTATCTAGTGTGGAGGACAATATTAGAACTTCAACATACAGTACAATGTATAATTTCCAAACTATAGCCTACATCTTGAACGATTGCATTATTAAAAAAACAAATGCAGTCGCATCCATAGTTCCTATTGACAATGATTTCTAAACAAATATGTGATACAAAGATTATTTGTCATTTACACATGAAGATGGAGATAAAACGTTTATAGTCACTTCTACTTGTTGCCTTCGTGTGGCTCTGATGCACTTGTTAGATTGTATGGGAGAGACGCGGTCATTTACTTGGGGGCGAAAAGCTGAGCTGCTATCTGTAGCTAACAGCAAAGCAGATTACGTCATAGGACATTTGTAAAAAGTGTGGGAGCCTGTAGCAGATACCAGAAGCTTCTAAAACCCAAACAAAGACGATGGCGAGCCAGTCCCAAGGCATCCAACAGCTTCTGCAAGCCGAAAAGCGTGCAGCTGAGAAGGTCTCCGAAGCGAGGAAGAGTAAGTGACGCATCTTACGCTTATATACTGCACAAAAAAGGCTGATTGTTCTGGACAGCCATGCAAAACAAACTACATCGTCAAAATTTTGGGTGCTTCCGATACCATAAAATGTAGCAATGTATTTATGAATGACAGGCATCACATGTATTATCAAAATTAAACATCCGTACGAATCACGCAAAAATGGCCAAGGATAGTATGATACGTAATAATAAAAAACAACAGTCGACCTATCCAAATCCCATGCATATTAGTTATAGCTTTTACAATGTAATTGCTTTTTATCTTTAATATGTCCGAAAATATTCCGTCGTCAGATATCTCCGTATCCGCAGTGGCGCTCATGCGGTTGTGTAAGGAGTTCGTCACGATACCATGAGCAATGAAGCTGTCGCAGATGGGTGAGATGAACGTGACTCAAAACAAGGATCGTGAGCCTGTCGGTTAAGATGCGCTGCCTGTTAACTGGGTTTTGAAAAAAATTGTATAAATTACATGTGTCAATGAAGAAGAATCAGCATGTTTGTTAAACGCTCCATCCATCCATCCATTTTTCATATCCCCAACCAAGTCTCTCCCAGACAACACAGCACGTGGGACACCCTTGCCGTGTTGTCAGTCCATCACAGGGAATGCATCCATAGAATACAGGGAATTAAGAGATTTGTATGTTTGTGTGCAGTTTGCATGTTCACCCTCTGTTTGGGTGAATGGACCGTGACACCTTATAGTGAAAAATACACAAGCCAAAAATATACTAGTAAAACATAGTAAACACATATTAAGTGAAAAAGATAAAGTGCAAATTTACTTACAGATACATTAATGTACATACATAGATGTTACATTTCTGCAGTAGTGCTTGTGTAAACCCGATATACATTGAATGTCTCAGTCCAGATTTACTCATGTCGGTTTTACGTATGCTGAAAGCTGTCTGCACATACTTTGAACTAATGCAAAACATCAATTTTCATATATTTTTCACTACTGGAAAAGTTTGGTTGAATATTTTGCAGGCTTTTTTTTCATTTTGCCCTTCATATGCCATAAAACCAGACTAAATCTGCTATTGGACAGTAATAGTGTGAGGAAACTGATGAGGTGGCAGCTTCGGGTCCATGGGCTGAAAGAGCTGTGAGCTAAATGCTCCTTGCTGCCCGTCCCAGGGAAGAGCCGGAGGCTGAAGCAAGCGAAGGAGGAGGCGCAGGCTGAGATCGAGCAGTACCGGCGCGAGAGAGAGCGGGAGTTCAACCAGAAACAGAGCACAGTAAGAGGGAGAGGCCTCGTCATTCAGAAGATCAGCTGCGTTACATCCTTAATGTTCAAGCTTTAGATGTTCACAAATGAAGACATAATAAACATTCAAGTCATATAAACCTTTATTTTTATACGTAGCTTATGGTTACACACTATGGGATAAATTGTCATTCAAGTGAAACCAGAGCTTATTACGTGTTGTCACATTTAAGATTTTATCCATACTGTACATATATGTATGACAGGACAGTGATCTGGCAATGTGCCAAATGTCAAGGGTCAGAGGTCATGTTAGGTTGACGTGATGCTAAGCATGAGTGTGCAGCATGAAGTGGGTGGGTGTGGAGTTCACCGTTGAATTGTATGCTGCTTTATTTATTGGATGCATTATAAAATGGCCACCAGGATGTACACACCCCCTCTCTCCCTCAGGTGTTAGGATCACAAGGCGACCTGTCCTCTGAAGTAGAGCAGCAGACACGGCAGAAGATCCAGGCCATGAACAAGAGTTACCGTGCCAACCGGGAGGGGGTTCTGAGGCACCTGCTAGCCCTCACCTGCCAGATCAGCCCCCAGATCCACTGCAACTACCGCTGCACTTCCTAGAGAGCCAGACAGAATGAGACAGAGCGAGGGCGCTGTGAACACAGAGGGAGAGACAGAACAGGCACTTGGACAGGCCTAGGGAAAGCTAAACAGGAAGCACTTAGGTGTTGATGGGAATAAAGATGTGACTGCAAACATCATTATCATGTCATCCCCTCTGTCAGGTCTGCAGATGTTGTATCCTGGTGAACATTGTGATAAATTGCACCAGATCCTTCTCCTGAGTCGACGTCTCTCCAGTGAACATCATACGCTTATGGAAACTCAGTGTGTCATACCAGTGGGGAGATTGCATGTGTGCGGGCAAAGGTGCCTGTGAGTCTCTTTCAGTTGTCACTGTGGCTTAGATCACACCCAAGCAAATGTGGAGTAATGTGTGCAGGGTTGATTATCCTCGTAGTTGTGTTTGAATTCTGCTTCCTTTGCCTGCGTGTTGCCATTTCTAGGTCCGGCAAAGAATCGGTATTGCAGGAAATATCACACCTGTCGTCATCTCTGTCAGTCAAAGCCCACATCATTGGCTGGCTGTCACCGGAATGCCAAGCCGTTGTTGATTTTGAGGTAAACATAAATGAACAGTCTTCACAATGTTCCAAGTCCTGTGCTGTCGTTAAATTATTAGCATGAACTGTCAAATAGGGTTTCGTTAAATTCTGGCAACTTTGTCGTGATTTCTGTAAGGTGTTGCATAAGCATGCTAAATATTACATGGTGGGTATAGCCTAATAAACCTTTATTAGTTATAAAAGCATGCATTTTTAGCTGGTATTTTTTCTGGTCGGGGCAGATTTGATATGTCGGATCTTGATTTTATCGGAAATGAAAATTGTATTTTCCTATACAATCCTAAAAATCCATCTAAAATAAAGTTTGTATATATATATATATATATATATATATATTTGCTCTGTATATTGTGTGCATTATCTCTTTTATTGTATTATTTCCCTTAGAAAAAGTATAACGATTTACAACTTTAGCCCATCTTCACCCACTCGGGCAGCGCTCCTCATAGGTCGTAGTGTAAAAGGTACAAAGCAAGTGAATTATGGGAAAACGTTTCATCTAGTAAATGACACACTGGTATAACGCATTATTCTTACATTAATAGAAAGCAAGCAAATGTAATAATAAAAAAAACAAACTTAGAAATGCATTTGCATGGCATTGCTTAAGATAATGAATCATTATTATTATTAGGTTCCGTCAAATCAATGTGGTTTAAATGGCGTAAAACTACATAGAATCACGGAAAACTGGGTTTTGAGACCTTGTCACATAAGGCGGTCTGAACTCCCGAGCGTGTGTCAGGGTAAAAGCAAATAATACACGTCTTCATAATACTTTAAAATAAAGGGAGCTTATTACAACTACGTTGTAGATGCCATAACGAACTTGAAAATCACCTACAGTACCAAATGCCGCTAAGACATTGGTAACAACGGGCCACCAATAGGGGGCAGTGTGTTTTTGCGCATTTGCCTTCTCAGTGAGCGACTTCTCGTGTTGACCCGGGAGAATGTTGCCGTCTGTCACGGTATCATGCACGTTTACAATCTGTTCCTTTAATTGTGTATAACTAAAAAAATGCTGACAGGACACTTAGCTATATGCCTCCTGGAACCCACACCCTGGTCTATAATTCAAAGGGAGTCTGCCATCAGAAACAAAGTTGAAGACGAACCTTATTAAAACACGTCAATTCTCTCCGTAATTCGTTCCTCCTTTTGCCGTCTATACGCCCCAACATGGAACAGGAAGTTCCTGTGTGTAGTGGCCGGTGAGGCATTATCAATGTTACGATTCAGAGCCGTGCTTTAATTAATTATTATTATTAAATCAATAATAATAATGAAGATTTTAATATGTCAACTTTGTTCTAAACCCTCTGATTACATCTCACTATATGTTTGCCAAAACACAGAAACCCAGTGAATCTGTGATATTCAGATGGATGTCATTACACAACATGAGTGATAAACCATGAATGCTGTGTTATGTAAAGATGTTTAAAAATAATCTTTCCCAGTTTACTACGGGTTTCTTCTTATAAACATGTTTTCCCCATAATACTTTGATGATATAAAGGAAATGAAAATCTAAACAGACAGGACTTTATATGAGCTGAGGTACAGAATTCCATTATTGTCAGTGTGCCGTTAGTAAGCACAATGAAACTCAGTCTTCACAGGCTCTGCCGTTTATCCTGCATCCCTGGAGGAATTTTTCGAGGTTACAGGTTTTGCTCAAGGCCGCAGCGATGATGCCCCAACCCATGTCACGCAAGCAGTTTGAACTGGCGACCTTCCAATCACAGCCACAGAGGCCTAGCCTGCAGAACCACGCACTGCTAAAATTTAACTGTAAAATTTACAGTAAGTGTAGGTGTCAGTATAGAACTGTAAATAAACAGTACCTAATAGTAAAATATTAGTTAACTTTTGAAAATATCTAGCATAGTCCTGTATATCTACAAGAGAAGTTGGTCATGTTTTTACAGCCAGGAGTACATTAACTGTACAGTAGATCTACAATATAATCCAGTGGAGGTGTTTAACTGAAATTACAGCACAGGTTTAGAAAAATCATAAAATTATAAACTTGCATATTTCACAGTAAATTACAGCAAACGCTCTGGAAATCAGTTTTGGAAGCCGTTCAAAAAAACTACTTTTCCTGTACCTGATGGTAAAAGTCATTCAAAATCCATTAACTTACTCAGCAGAGTACAGATACATGTGTTCATTTCCAGATGCAACATCTGATGCCTGCATATGCGTAGTGTTTGTGTATCCAGTGTGTTCAATGTGTTTATGTGCCGTGTGTAATGAGAGGTGAAGGAGGCTGCGTGTGAGTGATGATGTGAACCGTTTGAGCTGTTAATCAGGTGGGATGAGGAATATTAAAGTTTAAAAGGGACAAATGTGACAGCTGCTCAAACATTATGCGAGAAGGCAGAATAGAAAGAGTGTGGATTTGAGAGAGGGAGAAAGAAAGAGATGAAGAGAAAGGCAGGCGGATTTCCTTGGGTGATCAGTCTTGGGGAGTCTCGCAGTCGGGGGCCCTTTCAGATGCCTGCTGCAGTGGCTGCCACTGGAAACAACCCAAATCCAAGCATTTCGGGGTCGTTTATCTTAATCTCAATTATGCTTATTTAGGCTAAAATAAGTGACAGATGAACCTGACCGGGCAAGACATATGAAATATCACTAGCTACGTCAGCTTCTGGTAGAAGAGAGTCCGGTTTCTCTTTAAAGTGAGCCGTCAAGAGTAGCAGCATGCATGGGATTAGACAATTTACTACTCCTTACTTCAACAGAATAGTATGTACAGTACCACAGTATTTGTTTGCTTTTGCCAAAAAAAAATTATTCCCTTTCATTTCAAAGCCCCTGTGTAGTCTTTGGTAAACATTCACAAACCAAAGTGGTCAAATACTGACATTTAATGAACACGATACAAATTTTTTTTTCATCTTTAACATACATTGACTAGAACTGCGTTATATTTTGTATTTTGTTTGGTTACTTATGGGTAAGGTTAGGGCTGAGTAGGAATTAAGGTCGTCATGTTGGGATTAAAGTCATGGTTGTGGAAATGAGTGTATGATTCCTACAGTGATATAGATACCTAATCTGTGGGTGTGTGTGTGTGTGTGTTCTGTCTGTGTATTCCTGTTTGCATAGGTTTACTCTGGGTGGTCAAGTTCCCTCTCATAGTATAACAACATGTATTTATGAAAATGAGTGCCTCAAATTGCTTATGGTGTGTTTTTATGCCTTGGCGGATAGGCCTCATGTCTGGCCTTTTCTCTGGTGCTTTTGGACCTCGAGAACATAGCATACCTCTGAGTATCAGCAAAAACAAACCATAAATATTAGGGAGAAAGTGTTCATTTTAGGTGAATTTACTGATTTTAGGTGAAGCCATGTTGTACTGATGGTTACCCGAGGAATCATGCCCAAATCTGAATTGATGTTGCTCTGCCAAACAGTTCTGAAAGACATTCTTGTCTCCACCTTCATTTGCTGTCGCTGTGGGCAATAAAGAAGGAAAACAGGTAAAACCTGGGGTTAAAACAGTGGGGACTATTTCTCAGTGTTACCAAAATAGCCACATGACTCACGGGGGAGAGTAACCTCAAATATGTTGGTTCCCCAATTTAAAATGTTATTTACAGTCCAAAAGTAAACAGTTTTATTTTTAGCTCATTTTCACCCTTCTAAACTTGAACAATTGCGTTTTGATTTCTTCTCCACTCTGGATCTTGTTTAACAGAACTGAGCAGTGTAAGGCTGTGTGCAGGAGTTTCTCCTAACGGCCGCTGGTGCCGTAATCTTTACATGCCTTCCACACCTTTGTTTGAGCAGTTTTGTCAGATAATGTGAGTCCGGCTTTAACCTGGACCCGCCACAATAGTTTCAAACAGAATCCAGGTTATTCAGTGATTTAAGGTAACCACGTTGTATTCTAAGACATTTTCCATTACATTGGAATTTACTATAGGTTTTATTTGTATAGCCTTCGCATGTGATGTTTAATGTTAAAGCTGATTGTGGGGTGAGAGATGGAGATGCCATCCGTGAGGGTAATTTTATGTCATTGAGGGAACACAGCAGCCCCATAAAGGTTTGCATGGAAACTCATTGATTCATTGCATGCTTCTCTTCTATTGGTTGCACTCGAGTTTCGGCCCCGTTTTTGGCTGAACTTTTATGGCAGTTTTTACTCAACCAACACCGGGTAAAACCTGTCTCATCCTTGGACTTCATTCTAACATTCCACGAATGTTCAACCGTAAAGATATGAGTGAGCTGAGTAATAGTAATAAACAGCATTCGTAACTACATGACATTTTCACGGGCCCTCCTTGTTTGTTTATGATGGCTCTGTTAGTGTCGGCCGTTTTTACTCAAAGCTCCTAATTGTTAAGAGCCAAGTTGGATCTGCTTCACCTTTTCACTGTTACTATTATCCTGTCTCTTCTGCTGCTGTATCTTACCCTGCAAACATTTCTCTCTGTCCTTGAGCATAAATGATACTATCTAGTGACAGAATTTATAGATTCTGGAGTTTTATAGTGGAATTAAGTGCAGCAGAAATGGCAAGAATGGTTTTAATGTGCTGAATGCTAAACGTAAAATATGAGTAGTGTTTCATATGGGTATCAGGCTGGGGTTTACTGCTGTCTGCTGTGTGAGAGCCAAGGCTGTTTGTCACGGTGGATGTTCTCTTTACTCGGTCTCCTCTGAGGACAGTAAATGTAGGAAACACCCAATCCGCCGCTCCTTCCCATCCTGAGTCGTCCGCACATGACAAAACTCTCGCCCTCGCTGAGCTCAAGCTGATTGCTTTTTCTCTGCGGTCCTACTGCACTGGAGCTGCTCAAACATGCAGCGTTGCAAAGGATCCCCTGGATCTGAAGGGGCTATGTTAGAGTTCAGGATGCGATGCTCATGCGTGATTGTCAAAACCCAGGGTAAGACTTCCAGCTGGGTGCTGATTTGTGACCTGCCCATTGTCTTGGTGACCTTTGACCCCTCACCTCTGGCCCCTGGGCATCCTCCTCTCCTACTCCTTACAGGAGTGATGCCAATTGACGTGTCCCCTTCCCTTTGCTCACACGACTCTGCATCGCCTGTTTGCTTTTTAGATCCCCCCTTAATTTATTCCAATGTATTTAGTGCACCTGCACACTCTGAACTTTTAAGATGCTTTCAACAGAAGCATCTGTTAAAATGTAACAGTTAAATGACAGTTAAATGAATAAATATCTGTTTGAAAATTCTCAGCCTGGCAGCACAGTCCCCGTGAGAGGTTAGACATCCCTCGCTGAATCTTAATGAGTTA